GACACAAAGAGAGACACACAGATAAAAGCACGCACACAGATAAAAGCACGCACACACTGACCAGGTCCTCTTGTTGTCGAAGAACAGCACCAGGAACAGGTGTTCTCGGGCCTCCTGGGTCATCTGCTCTCCCAGCTTCAGCACCTCCAGAGGCGGGACGGGGATCGGCACACCGCGGTGAAACACTCCCTCACGTGGCATCTTAGGATCGATGATCTGATAAACACAAACACACACACACACACACATCACTGAGAGAGATTCCCTACTGTCTACCACAGGAACCCATTGCCTGTGTGTGTTTACATGATCACACACCTTCTGCACTGGCTATTCACATTCACACTGTCAGAGTTTCCTTCTGTCCATTATATTGATCCTTTCAGTGTTGAGAATGAGACACACACAGACAGACACACACACAAACACACATGCACACAAACACACACGCACACAAACAGACATGCACACAAACAGACATGCACACAAACACACACGCACACAAACACACATGCACACAAACACACACACACACACACACACACGCACACAAACAGACATGCACACAAACACACATGCACACATACACACACGCACACAAACACACATGCACACAAACACACATTCACAAAAAAACACACACGCACACATACACACACGCACACAAACACACATGCACACAAACACACACGCACGCACACAAACACACATGCACACAGACAGATAAAAGCACGCACACACCCAGACTGACATGCAGACACGGAGAGACACACACAGACAGACACGCACAGAAACACACACACACACAGACAGACACGCACGCACACAAACACACACGCACACAAACACACATGCACACAAACACACACACACACACACACACAGACAGACAGATAAAAGCACGCACACACCCAGACTGACATGCAGACACAGAGAGACACACAAAGACAGACACGCACACAGACAGACACGCACACAAACACACACGCACACAAACTCAAATGCACACAGACAGAAAAAAGCACGCACACACCCAGACTGACATGCAGACACAGAGAGAGACACACACAGACATACATAAACACAGTCACACACACACACACACACACACACACACACACACACACACACACACACACACACACACACACACACACACACACACACACACACACACACACACACGGCATTGAGACTCACCAGAGCAGGGTATGATGGGTATCCTCTGCATTTGGCCCACACCAGATCCAGAGCGTCCAGAGAGCTGTAATCATCTGAGCTCATCCAGCATCCAGAGCGACCTCTGCCCCGCACCACTGACACACACACACACACACACACACACACACACACACACACACACACACACATAAACAGGTCAGCTTTCACACAGGGCTCAGCTTACACACAGGCCAGGCAGACACTCCTCTAGATCCTCCTATAGAGTAAGGGTGTTCACTAGGCGATCCGATTACATTTGCCTGTGTATTTGACAAGTGTGAGCGCTCTGAATCGGGCTCAGGTGCGGTTCAGTTGCCGGTCCTGGCCTGGTTGGCAGAGGTGCGCCAGAGCATGGTTCAGTTGGGCTTTGGTGCGGTACGCTTGTAGTGTGAGTATAAAGTGTGTCTGCGGCCCAAACTGAAGATGCGCCGTCACTTTAAGAGACTGTGTGATCTGGATTTATTGATCAAGCTGACTGATGAATGAACACGAGCTGCAGAGTTTATCACAGACACAAAGCCCTCACTGCACCACAGCACACCTCCTCAAACCCGCAGCAGCAGGACGTCATCAACATTATCAGTGTGTGTGTGTGTGTGTGTGTGTGTGTGTGTTGCTCACAGTGAGACACTCCTCTGGATCCTCCTATAGAGTACGAGTCGTTCTCGGTGC